ATGTTTTGCAATTTTGTCCACATACGTTGTGATAATTATATTTTTATTTTTTTATAAGATGTAATTGAAATTAGTTTCAAGTAAAATTAGAATCAGAACAAGAGTGGATTACTATTAGATAGAAAATTAGTTTATCCGTCGAGAAGAAAACAAGAATTGAGAAGAGATGATGTTAAATTACTAGTCGTCCCATTCACAAATATTCTTAGCTAAGCCTTTAAAGAAATGATTTTATACTATGGTGTTTGGTTGTGGTGTTAATTGTTGGTGATGTTTTGTAATGTTTGAGGTGAAAGTAGTATTTATAGTCATCGATTTTAGTTGAAGGTGGGAGTGGTGGTGCATTGGAGGTTATGGTGGTGGATTATGGTGCTGATCTACGGTGTGTGCAAATTTGTTTGTTGTGACACTATGACTAAGTATGTGTTTATTGTGACTGATTGTAACCAATTTTGTGTTAATTGTGACCGATTGTGACTTGATCATATACATTTATAGTTAAAATTGACCCGATCAAATACAGTCACATTGAAGACAAATTTAATCACGGTTAGTTACACTGAAGATAAAATTTAATCACAGGTAATCAAAGATAACACATGTTAGTGACTAGGTTGTGTACAGTCACAACTTAGACGGTCACAGACAATCACACTGAAGACAAATTTGGTTACAATCAGTCATAGATAACAAAAGTTAGTGACTTGGTTATATACAATCACAAATTAGACGATTACAGAAAGTCATATTGAAGATAAATTTGGTCATAATTGGTCACACATAACGCATGTCTAGTCACCAAAAAAAATCTAATCACAGATAACATAGTCACAAATCTAAGGGGGTATGGTTTCGTGATGGAGTATAATCTCGAGAAAAAATTTCAATTTTTAAAATTCTTTTACGAGTTTTGTTGAGGTGAGATGGGATTCTAGAGGTGGGGTGTAATCTCGAAAAAAGTTTTCAATTTTAGGAATTTTTTTATAGGTGGGTAGAGGGTGGGTTCGTGGGGGTGGGATATTATTAATTTGGTGGGGTGGAGTGGGGATATTATTAATTGGGCAGGAATAATTAATTCCAATTAATTATATATTATATATATTATTAATTGTAATTAATACCTGAATTTTGAAACAATTTAACAAGTCTGTTGGTTTTGAAATGTAATTCTTATATGTAACAGTTATGCATTGTTCCCTTGATAACCCTACTTGCACTCGAGAATATACTAGTGAGTCCGCAAGAATCTCCCTCAAAAGGAACATCAGTCTGTTCTAATACAAGGACATGAAGAGTACAAGTATCGCATAGTCCAGTTTGAAAAGGCGCTGCTTCTTTTCCCAATTGAGTAAGTTAAATATCTCGGTTACATCTACAAGGTGCTGTCTTCACATAAACCTGATTTAAGAACATCACGATTCAAAGAGAGTGGCTTGATTTGTTATCTAAAACTGTCATAAAAAAATAGCGTATCTAACTAACTAATGAACAAATGGTAAAGCCAAAATTTTATCGCACTAAAGCAACATTTTTCTCTGGGCAACAATATGTTAGAGACTCTTATGATCCTATATGTTTTAGTACAATTCCGCTCACAAAGAAAGAACTGATCGGATATCTGTGTAAAGAGAAGAAAATCCAAAAACATTGGACATTGTGAAAATTAGCACTTCAAAAATTCTACCAGGTGAATATGTTAATGTAATTTAAAGACTCAAAAATGCAAAACTGTGCACAGTTGTTCCAAGAATATCGCAATCTACTGATAAATAATGTCCCAATCTATTTAAATCACTTGGCAACTTCGAGCGAAAAAAAAAATTATGGTGCACTTTTAACTACCAACATTCAGATCAATCCTGATATACCATCAACACCGACTAGCATAAGCCGTAGATAACAATACTACCTGTATAGCTGATTGGGTGTCCATGTCTGACTTTCAAGATCTAACATCGTCTGTTTTTTCCCTTCTTTTGTTATATTTTCATTTTATCTACTCTTTAGTTCTATAAACCAACAATCCACTCGTACCATGAACCAATAGCTATCTGCAGGCATTATTACATTATAATCTCAACAATCCACTCATTTTATACAATTAGAATCTTACGAGACTTTAATATAATCATGCCCAATGGGATATTTAAACTGCTCAAGACTGTTCTGTAACTTCCACTTGTGCTCCAAAGTTAAACTGCCACACTTCATCAGTAATTTTGCAAGCTTATAGTTACTCCTGGGTCAAATTGTCCAGGGGAATATCTTACTTCGGTATAAATAAAATACAAATTGTGTCAAATAGCCCCATTGAACTTACCTCAGATTTGATTTGCAACTTAACTAATTTTCCAATCATTGAGATTCACATCAGTTCGGACAAATTAAGATTAAAAAAAAAAAAGGTCTTCCCCGCAGATCATTCATTCGCATAAATATATATCTCAATTGCAACAAAACCTTTTAGCACGTGATCAAAACCCAATTTTACGAGTCGTCAAATGCATCTATTTTCTTACCTGCTCTAGAACTTTCGTACTCCAGACTAAAAAACAACAATTGTGTGAAAATTCCTACACATTTCCAAATATAGCACAAGTAAATACATATGTCAGATGAGGTGTATATATTCAAAACTGAATGACACCGAATATTTTTCAGAATTTGAACGAATTCTTAACACATGTCAAAATTAAATGGAATATAAAAAAGGAAAGGGTAAAACAATTGTTAAGGAAGCTTGATCCAGCTCTGTGCAATACGTAAGAAGCTGAAAGGCATATAGAGAGAGCAACAAGGTAGATGGAAAACAATCACTCAGTACATGAGATTGAACAATGATGCTGCTCTGTGTGCGAGTTAATTCAATTTAAGTTTCAACGAGAAGTTGACAAGAACTTACAATCTCACATTGTAGTACATGTACGGAACACTAAGAAGTGACATAATCCAGTGCCCTGTCGCATGGAAGAGAAAACATAGAACCCCTTGTGTGATGAACTCTGGTAAAGCCACTCTGTTTATTCGAGATGCAGAGTCACAAGGGTTGATATAATCAAAATCTAGATCTGCCAAGCACATGAGCTGCACAGCATATTAAGAGTAAGATTCCATGTATCAAACCCATTTGCTTGACATGGAAACAACTAAGGATATTTTTCTTAACACCTGACAACCCTAAGCACTACGGTACTAGACAAACTTAAAATAAATTGCTAATTTTGGGCATTTCTGTATATGTACAAGACTAAATCCCTTGTAATCTCTATTCCATAAACTCTGATGCTGCAACATACTTGGAAATGTTCAGACATTTTAGTTTCTGGCCAAGTTCGAAGGTTCTAAAAAAAAATGTCAACAATATAGGGAAATTTTAATTTTGTGCTCCAATCAAACATGAACAATGAAATACTACACCGTTCAGATTAAATGGCATTAAAATATAATTAACATGTCCACAGACAAATGAAGGACCAATCAAGTTAACACTAGGGGTTTAATTTAAGGATTTGAATTTACGAAGTAGAACTGCAAATTGTGACTTCGAACCAACATATAATACTCGAAAATGAAATCTATAATAAGCTGAAATCTATAATTCGCAAGGAGTTACTTTGAAAAGGAACAGGGATAAGTTAAAGCACAAATGTGTATTTTAAACAAACTTCAATTCCAAGGCATAGATTACCAAAACTACAATCGGTGGTATCAAACTGTACCTCACAAATTGAAATGAACCACAAAACAATGCAAGTTGAACAACAGTCCCTCCTAATAGCAAGATAAATAATCTAAACCCAAATTTATAGCAAGCTATCGCGCAAATAAAAATTCATCAGAAAATTTGCAAATCATTCTTTTTCTCTCTATTTATATTTCGAAAAGAATTTACAGATGGAAAAAGAAGAGAGTGTAAAAATGGAAAAAAGACAACAAAAAGGTTAGGATGATAATGACAACAATGCTCTGATACCATAATAGATATTTCAGGATGAACACTGAGATACGGTAAAAACTTTTAAAAAGCAAAAATAGTGCCAACCAACTTTGCTACAGTTTGTACAATCAATTCGGCTACAGTAGTGTGAAAGCTCCTCCACCAAAATGAACAACAACTGTCTCATTCTCTCTTTTAAGGTAGTGTAGGATTTCAGAATCACGGAAAACCCTTTTCATTCATCGCAAACAACAATCGGACTCTTCACGGAGTACTTAGTAGAGATCCATGTAAGGGATCCTTGACTAGCTGAATTGAGTCTGACCGTGGCTGATCGGCTGAATGTCACCTTATATCTCAACTTCTAGTTTAACTTGGAAAATTGAAGTCTGCTGGGCTCAACACTCACATTAATACCCAGTGGAGGGTCAATTACTACAGAGTAAACTGAATTGGCCTCACCAACGTTAGTAACTATCCTGAAATAAGTCTGACTTCTGTATCCAAGAATGATGCAAAATGAAGGATAGTTTAGTTTACCTTCAGATATGCTGGATATATTCGAATCGTCAACAACCCGGCGCACAATAACATTGACCTGCTCGTTCGTGTATTTCAAACCGAACAAATAACGTATGTACTCTTCAGGTTGAATGTCATAAACTAACCCAGGATCAATTGCTGCTAATGCGTTCACGTGACCAGAACCAGTAGCAAAAATATTTCCTGGTTGTAGAGTTTGGTCTTCAACTGGGTAATTGGTGAGGTTCATAGGATCAGCCGTGGTCATAATTGCAGACTTAATCATTGCAGGGGACCAACTAGGGTGTGCACATTTTAGCAATGCTGCAACGCCGCTCAAGTGAGGAGTAGCCATTGAAGTTTCAGAAAGCATGTTGAATGGACATTTGGCACTGGTTTTTTCAACTGGAACATGCCAGGCTGCAACAATATTGACTCCAGGGCCAATAATGTCATGTTTAAGGATACCCATGCTTAATGGATTAGGACCTCTGCTTGAAAAACAAGAAACCGATGGAGCCCGATCATCTCCAATAATAGTTCATTCGAATGATATTGAAGCTCTCGGAATAGCCGTTGACTTAATATATGCTTTCACTTTTAGTCCATCGGTATAACTGACACAAACTACAGGATGAAAATGAGCATTTAAATTTATGCTGTAGCCTTCGAGCTCCTCATTCATGAAAATCACTGCGGTGCAACCAGCGTTCCTGATTGCTTGACCTGTCTTAATTCTTCCTTTCCTACCCATTTCACACAACATTATTTTCCCTCTGACATCGATGTTTGCAAGAGATGCTAGTATGAAAAATTGGTTACTAGCAGTCGATCCAAGGTAGACGAGAGATAATTGCATTGGAGTGAAATCCATGGGCTGAAAAGCAGACTCTCCATCTAGCTCTAAGTTGTTTCCCAGCACAACCGTTGCTCTAATCTTTCTGTCAATGGTACTTGCACCCACAATGAGTATCCATGGAGCAATATTTTGTACAGTCCCAAAATCTGGCCCTTCATTTCCAGCCGCGGCGCACACAAAAATGCCCTTTTCAATTGCTTGAAATGCACCAATCGCGATATTGTCGTCCATAAAGTCACTAACCAAGCTACCAACAGAAAGAGAAATCACATCCACCCTATCTTTAATTGCAGCTCCCATTGCACCCAAAATGCCGACTTCCTTCGTTATGTCAATTTTCGAATAGGTACTTGTCTTAATTTTATACATAGCCAAGTGAGCTAGCGGCGCTATCCCTAAAGCCGTGCCATTTGCATTGCTAAAGAAATTCGCACCTGGCACAAAATTCCCTGTAGCAATGCTAGCAACATGCGTGCCATAGCCCATCTCATCGAATGGTATCCCTTTTTCAATCGAAAAATCACTCGCTCCAATGAGCTTATTGTTACCCGCCACGAAATTAAATGCACACTTACCTTTCCACTTAGCAGGAGGCGGAGGCATTCCTTCATCGCTAAACGAAGGATGATCAGGGAATATTCCGCTATCTATCACTCCAATTATCACACCTTTACCGTAATTGGGCTCTTTCCACGGTCCCATATTATAGTTCAACCCCAAGAAGTAAGGAGAATGGGTTGTATATAAAGATACTACATCTTGCACTCGGGCTGAGATGAATCCAGGAATCTTTTCCGTTGCCTTCACTTCCTCAGGCGATAATCTAGCAGTGAAGCCTTTAAACACAGTATGGTAGGAACAGATCATGCGAGATTCCTCGGGTAAAAATGTTTGATAGTAGCTAAGCAGATCATCTGAGGAACCAGTAGGATGAGCAACGTGAACAATATATGGTTTCAGATTACTGTTGCATAGGAGAAAAACAAAAGAAAATTAAGTACAGAAGAACGTAAGAAAAGTAACATGTATGCAATGCAATGAAGCTCAGATTATAGACATGCACTATAATGGAAGTTTCCAGGATTAATACAGAAAACCCTCATGCAACCAGCCATTCACTCCATATTTGCTTACTTCACCTGCTGTCCTAAATTCCCAACACACAGTGCATATGTCCGCAAGAAAATACCAAATAGATCTGTATTGTCTCTACATAGATTTTAAACATATAATTATTCAAGAAAGGGCAAAAATCCCATAATTTTACGTAAAAAAAAAAACATTAAAGGGATTTGATCTAGTTTTCATACACACAATAAGAGGAAAAAATGTTAGAATCCCATAAATTATTGAGAAAAAATGAGGGGAGCCAATCGGATAAATGCCCTGTTACCGGACGAGTCAAGTTTGAAAATTTTCCTGCACCTGGATTCGGAGATGAGCTGGGAGGCCTGCTCTTTGGTGTGCAAGCGGTGGCTGATGCTCCAGAGGCTCGGCCGCCATACCATCCATGTTGGTGCCTTCTCCAGTCCCCACGTCTTGAGTGACCTCTTCGCTCGCCGGTTTATCAATGTTCGGAACATATTCATCGACGAGCACCTCTCAGTTTCGCCCCATGTCCAATCTGTAAGGAACCAAAATCAGACTCTAAAGCTTAGATGTCATAAACATAACCCAAGAAATACACAAATCCTATCGCACTAATACCGACCGAACAGAAACCAATCACAGCAGCCAACAAACGATTCAGGTTCACTGTTACAAAATGCGAAAATAGATGATTTACAGATCAATTAAAGGTCACCAGCTCAAAATGGGAAGGAGATGAAGAGAACGGTCGAGAGACAGAGACAACTGAGAGTAGCGCGCCAAAACTAGAAAAAAATTAAGAATCGAATGAATATCAAAGAGTCCGACAAATCGAGTAACAAGGGCCAACTAATGATCACAGCCATTGAGAGAAGGGTTTTAACTAATGAGCCAATCAAAAGGTGCCCAGTGGACTTTAAGTTTAAAGAGATGCATTCACTTTTTATCCTTCAATTAAAATGGGGGTATTTTCACGAATGTCCATAATTAAGGGTGTGAGTTGAAAAGTGTCCAAT